CCCTGCTTACTTCTGTCTCCTGCAGTTGGTCTCAGCCCCATCTCTGTCTCATACCGCCTCCAGGTTCTGGCAGGGGACGGACCAAAACCCACCCCCTCCCAGGTATTCTACCCTGGCCTCCATTTCAGCGCCTGAAATCCCATGACAGGGAAGAAACTAGGTCATAAAATCAATAAGGCTTAGAGTCCAGGAGCCCGTGGGAAGGGCAGGCAGGCAGTCACCTTTGCACTGGCCTGGCGGTTTGGAGAGGGCCCCGCTGTGGGGGTGGGGAGAAGCCCAGGGGCTCTCGTATTGGCCTTGGCCCCCCAGGACCCAGGCCAGACACTCAGCGAGGGCCGGGTGACTCTTGGCCCTGGAGACGTCGCCTGCCCATGGCTAGGACTCCTGGACAGAGACCTAGGCTCACCTGGCATCAGCCTCTGCACGGTTCTGAGTCGTCCAGCAGAATGTGGTTTGAGCCACACGCTTCCAGAGCCTCTGGACTTCCCAGTGCCCCCCCGCCACTTACACACACACACACTTCGTACTTTGGGGCCAGAGCAGGTTTACACAAGACCACTTGAGGGCCTCCAGGTGGGCCCCCAGAGCTGGGGGAGTCCCACAGGTGGGCAGAGGCCGTGCCCAAGGGGCTGACCATTGGAGCTCCCGTCCTAGCTGGCCCCCAGCTCTGTGGCTGTGGCGGCAGCTGGTACAGGGTGGTGAGGACGCTCTGGGCAGGGGGGCTGAGAGCCCCGGCGTGGGGTCCTAATGGCAGGTAGGCCTGAGGAGCACGGACCTGCCTTTAACTCTGGGAGTTGTTGGGGTGTTGTGGTGACAGGAAGCCAGGGCCGGCCCGCCATGTGTTACGGGGCAGTCGGCTCACCCTGGCGTCCTGTGCTGCCCACAGGAACCTTTTGAGTCGCCCGTCCTACACCCAGGTTGGCCTTGGGGAGATGTCTAATGGTGCCCGTCACCTGTCTTACCTATGCCGTCACCTGTGGGTGGCACTGACATTGGTTCTGTGCTGGGTGTGGAGACTCAGGCTGAGACGCCCGGGTGCAGCCGGGGGAGTGGGAGTGAGGCTCCCACCTTCCGGATCTCCAGTCCTGGGGGCTGGGTGGCCTGAACCCCGGAGCTCCGTGCCGGCGGTCTTGGGTACAGGGGCTTCCTAGGGGCAGCAGGCTTGGGACTCACTGACGACAGACCTGCCTGCCCGCCCGCCCAGGGCTCTCAGCTGCGGCTCTGCTCCCCACCCGGGGGCTCAGCCCCCTGCCCTCTGCATCCGCAGCCTGTCCTCTGCCCTCCTGCAAGCAACAGCTCCAGCTCACATGAAGTAGCTGTCCCCTGTGCCAGCAGACACCGGGCTGGGGCCGTCCCCTTTGCCTCTTTCTGGGTCAGGCTACTGTCAGGCTCACTGAGGTGAAAAGGACGCTGAGGTCCCAAGAGACCACACGCAGAAGGAGTGAGGGCAGATCGGAAACCAGAGTGGCTCACACGGTCCAGGGTGGCCCATGTCAGGCGGCCTCGTGGTGCTGCTGGCGAGGGGCACCCTGGCCTGCCCCTCGCTGGTCCCCTGCCCGAGCCCACCCCCTCCCGCCTCCCTCCCCAGCGGTGTCCGCCCACCCGGACCCTCGTTGCTGCGTGGGACCCTCTACCCCTCGCATGCCCTTCTCTGCCGGGCAGGTCCTGGGACGTCTGTGCCCACATGCCCATCTCGCCAGGGACCAGGAGGGCAGGACCGGCCTCTAGCCAGTGGCATGGGTTTGGGGAGGAGGAGGCCACTTCCTGGCTTCCCTGCCTGGCGAGCGGGTGGCAGGCCCAGGGTCTGGTCCTTGGGGCCCCAGGTCTACTGTGCTGCGCTCTGAGAGGTGGCAGGGTGTCCTCAGGGGCCTGCACTCACCTCTTGGTGGAAAGTGGCGCCTGTATTCCCCAACCGGAGGGGCCCAGGAGGGCCAGTGCCCTCCCCCCAAGTCCTCACACCTATTTTTAGATGCCTTGCCTGGCGGCTTCCTGAGGTCGGGGGCCACCTTCCTGGCCGAGGTGAGGGTCCCTCTGCACTCCCTTCCTGCCTCAGCCGGGAGCCAGCAGCACCGCTCGCTCGAGGCCTCAGCAGGGTCCTAGGGACAGCTGCCCACCCCCCAGGAAGGCCTGCGCTGGGCTCTGTGTCACCCAGGGAGGAGTCAGGCCCTGTCCCTTCATGGCGGGTGGAGGCGAGGGGCAGCCTGCAGGGACCCAGGTCCCCCACCCAGCCCGAGGGGTGGCACTGGGGCCTCCCTCTGCCCCCACCAACCCTCCACATCTCATCCTAAAAGGGCCTTCGCTGCCCCTCTTCCCTCAGACCTATCCCAGTGTCTCCACGGGCACTTCCTGCCTTACTTCCTGCCTCTGGCCTTCACTGCCCCCCTAGGCACCGTTTCCAGGCTCCCAGGACTCCCAGTTGCCAAGCCGGGCAGGCACTTGGTGCATTTTCCCAGCAAGCGTGTGCGCCGCTCGAGATGGCGGGTTAGGGTTAGGGAGCGGAGATGGCACGGAGCTGAGGCCCCTTGGCGCGGCCCCCGCCTGGCGGCCCTCCTGGGTCACGGGGGCCACGCTGTGAGAGCCTGGCGTCTGGGCTAGAGACCAGCTGCCGCTCGCGCGTTAATGCGTGAGTCATCCTTGTTGCCCGTGGAATGCGTGGGCAGGACATGGGGTGACCGTGGGTCCACCCGGTGAGGGTGGGGGGGATGGGGCACTGAGTGCTGCCTTCCCTGGGTGGGTGGAGGCCTGTGTGCTGGCGGGGAGGGCTGGGTCCTGGCAGAGGGTGCCCCAGGCCTGCCCGGGCAGCGCCCCTCCCCCACACCGCCTCCCGGCAGACGGCCGGGCAGGAACCCAGCGCGCTTGGCAGCTCCCTCCCTGGCCGATGCCGGTATTCGTTAATTCTCAGAAAGGAGGGAGAAGGCAAGAAGCAGAACCCTCCGTAGCTGTGAACACAATGTCCTGTGGAAGCCTCCAGCTTCCACGGAGACCAGTTAGCGGCTCCGACCTCAGGGCTCCCCGTCCCAGCAGGCGCACGTGGCAGGGCGGTTCCTTCCTACCTGCCAGCCCGCAGGAGAGCGCGCTGTCTAGGGATGGGGATGAACGAAAGAGGACTTGACGCGTCCCTGGGCTCCTGCTGCTGACAGAGACAAGGCTGCCAGTGCCACCTGAGCACAGCGGCAGCGAGCCCAGCGCCCCACGTGCCTCCGTTTCCTCCCGTCACAGATGAGGTTGTGGAGGCTCAAAGACCCCGAAGTGGGCTTGAGGTGACCAGGCCGCCAGCGGCTCAGGGCCTGGCCCAGTGCCATTGCTGTCTGCTTCCCACAACGATGGACTCTGCTCGGTGACGGCCATATGTGTGAGCTGGGGTCTGCGAACAGACAGACCTGCGTTTCCAGAGGCCACTGCCGGCGACTGCGGGCCTGGCGTGCCCAGAATGACCTGCTGCCCCGCCCTGGTGGGCCACTGCCACCGAGACGGCAGCCCGGGTCCTTTGGGACCCAGAAGAAGCAAACATGCACCCCGAAGTCCTTGCTGCCTCAGAGTTCAGTGGGCAGGGGTTTGGGGGAGGGGTTTTAAAACAGCTTTATGTGACATAAACGGCACATAGTTCAAACATACAAGTTAAGTTCTGACATATGGAGACACCTGCGAGACCATCACCGCCCTCAGGACGTCACCCCCAGCAGTGTCCTCGGGCCTTGTGAGTCCTCCTGCCCTCCCCCTCCCAGGCAACCACTGGCCTATTTTCTGTCACTGCACATACTTTGCATTTCTTAACTTTTATTTCAATGGCACCAGAAGGTGGTGGTTCTGCCTCTTGGCTGTCACCCAGTGGGACGCTGGGGACTCAGCCAGGTGGAGCGCCAGGAATTCCTCACTCGTCCTTGTCAGGAGGGTCCCACGTGGCTGCACCATGGTTTGCTTTGTCCATCCAGTCCCCAGCTGATGGACACCTGGGTTGTCCCCCATGGGGGGCTATTGCACGGAAAGCTGTAGGGAGCACGGGAGGACAGACCTCTGTGCAGACACCAGCCTCAGTCCCGTGGGAGGAAGCTGTGGGGGTGGCCGGGGCACTGGCGGGTGTAGGTTTAACTTCTGCCCCCTCCCCACCCTGTTCTGAGGCCGCCCCTCCTGCCCCCGCCCCCTGGGCAGCCGGGCTGGTGGAGATCTCAGGGCAGCCCCTCTCACAGGGTGGGGAGGCCTCACTGGTTTACGTGCATTTCCCCGACCACCGACGGTGGTGAGCGCCTTGCCACATGTTTGCTCATGTCTGTGTCTCTGGTGAAGTGTCTGTTCCCAGCCTTTGTCTGTCTGGAAAATTGGGTTGTTGGCTTATTTGAGTCCTGAAAGCTCTTTATAAACTTCGGCTCCGCGTCCTCTCTTAGCCCCAGCCTGCCGGTTGCCTTTTGAAGAGCAGGCTTCTTCCAACCTGTGGTGTTTCGGGGCCCCCGGCCCTGCCCTCCTCGGTCAGTCGGTCGGTCGGTCGGTTGGTTGGTGGGTGATGGAGTTGTGGGCTGAGGTTTGGGCAGGACAGGAGCACCCCTCCCTCCGCTCCAGGTCTAGGCGGGAGGGGGCGCTTCAGCCAGACTTTCCCCTGCCCTGTAGGCAGGACCGGCTTCTCAGCTGACCCCTCAGAAGGTGAAGGCAGGCGGGGGCTGTGGGGGCCGGTCCAGAGTTGACCTGAAAGCCCTTCCGCAGACAACGAGGGGGGGTGTCTGCAGCCCCACCAGCAGCACTTGGAGGGTAGGATAGCACTGCCCTCACCGCGTTTCTGTTAGGACCATGTGTCCCCAGACAGGCTTGTCCCCTCAGCTGCTGTGGTGAGGAGGCTGCACCGGGAAGGGGAGAGTGATCCCAGCCCAGCCAGCGGCCGTTCCACACAGGTCCCCTCTACCGGAGGTGGGGACACCGAGGCCCAGTCTCTGCGACTACAGAGGGAGGCTTTGGACGGGCTCCCCGCCCCTCCCCCCTGCCCTGGAACAGCTCACAAAGCTGGACCACAGTTTCAAAACAAAATAAGTGACAGTTTCTAGCCAGAGTTACCACGGCAACCCTCAGCCTCTCTGCAGATGGCAGCCAGCTCAGAGGAGCAGGACTCCCCGGGTTCCCGCCCTGCCCCCACCCTCCCTGCTTTCCTCGGGCACACATCCCGTGGGCCCTGCAGCCCGCTGGTAGGTGTGACAGGCACCAGAGTGTGGGGACAGGATGCTGGGAGCCCGGGACCCTGCCCTCTGAGGGGCATGCAGGGGCCTGAGTGCCCTGGGAGGGAACCGTGGCTAGCAGGTGCACTGGAGGGCCCTCCTCGGAATCGGGGCCGTGGGGTCCTGCCCCTCCCCTGCCAGACTGGAAAACGGAGTTGAACTTTGGGAGGAGGGGGTTGTGGCAGTGGAGGGCCGGGGGAGGTGCCCACAGCATCCCCTTGTGGGGGATGGGAGCCCAGCTGCTGCTGGGTGCCAGTGGTCCCCCGCAGCCAAGCCTAGAGTAGAGGGTCCCAGGAGTGGGGGTGCAGTCCCCAGCTCCTCTCACCCGACTGTTGCCCTAGTGTCACCTGCCTGAAAGTGCCCAGGACTGCTCGGGGCTTTCCCTGGGGTGGCCCACAGTGCTGGGGCCACCAGTATCACACTGAGTGGAGTGTGTTTCCCCATCACCCTCCTGGGCCCCTGTCCCTGGCCAGGGCCTTGTGGGCAGGTGCCGGGCTGGTCCGCTGGTTTTCTCGGGGTCTGGTTTTCGGTTTCGTTTCTCCTTTGGTCATGTAGCTATTGGTCTGAGTGGGGACAGCGCCTGGAGGTTCTCAGTGCTGCTGTGGGAAGAAGGCCTTGGCTGTCAGCACGTGGATGGCAGAGCAGAGGAGACCGGGGCGCGGAGGGCCGCTGCGCGCTTGCCTGGGTTGGCCAGTTGCTCGGGGAGGCATAGGCCTCGCTGGACCTGGTGTGGGCTCATCCTCAAGCACAGACCCACCTGCCACTGAGCCTTGAGTTTGCAGAAGGCTGAGTCCGTTGGGGGAGCCGGGAGCTCTGAGCAGGGTACGCTTTCCCGCCCCGCCTGCTCAGGGCAGCCTTCCCTCCCAGCCTCTCGGGAGAGCACAGTGGTTTCCTTCCTCTGGCAGCAGCTTTCCTTCCCAGAGCTGACTTGGAGTATCCCACACCTCGGCCCCCCCTCACCCCTCTGCTTCCTGGATGCCACCAGGGCCCCCGTGGCATCAAATCCCCACCCCTCTCCCGGCAGCAAAGACTTGGAGGCCCCTCCACGGGGCTCCCACACGAGCTTGGGACTATTGACAGTACCACCGCCCACGGGGGCGCGGGGCAGTGTCCCCTACAGTACTTGTGGTCTTGTGTGGCCTCCGGCCAGTTTCGCAAGTAAAAATAGAGGACGTCCAGTTAGGCTTGAGCCTCAGATAAACAAGTGCACTTGGCATAACTACATCGCATGCCGTATTTGGGGGACACGTATACTAAAATATTCGTTGTCCAGGCGTCTCACTGCAGTGGTGCTGGCGGGGGGTCAGGTCTGGCAATGGGGTCCCTGCTGGCAGGAGGGCCCCCGATACCCAGGCCTTCCTGGGGCATCTCGAAAACCAGGGCAGCAGAGCAGCCACCCGGAGCCAGCGGGTGCCCCAGACCCCAGCGGTGACTGAGTGTGGCCCGCAGAGGGTGGCCCTCAGACCGCGGACCCGGCACCTGCCTCTGGCTGCTCTGTGTGTCACAGTTCATACTCACCGAAGTGCTCTGCTCTTTTCCCAGCTGGCTGGAGGTGTGATCCTGGGCGTGGCCCTGTGGCTCCGCCATGACCCGCAGACCACAAGCCTCCTCTACCTGGAGCTCGGAGACAAACCGGCACCCAACACCTTCTATGTAGGTGAGTGTGTGGCACAGGCCGACGACCCCGGCCGGCCCATCGAGGTATCTGATCAGAAACTCAGTGAGGCGGTCAATAGGCAATCAGGAAGGACTTCCAGGATGAGGCAGGACCTGAGCGGGCTTGCTGTGGACTTGGGGGGTGAGGGGGGGGCTTGCTGTGGACTGGGGGTGGGGTGGGGGGGCTGGCAGGAAGGGCTCAGTGCACCAGGTCGAGACGGAGCCAGAGAGCCTGTGGGGTTAGATCAGCTTGGGACCTTGAGGGCCTGGGTACCCCGCCCCCCTACACCCCACTGCAGGTGGTCCAGTGTCTGGCTCTGGGGGCCTAGCCAGGACGAGAGGGTAGCAGCTGGGTGGGGGCGGGGGAGCTGTGTCACATGGTAGGTATTTCGGGGGAGGCTCCCTGGGAAGGGACAGGGCTGGAGGCCTGGACGGCCCAGACCGACTAGCAGCTGAGGCTGTGGGAGCCCGAGCCTGGGGGATGGAGACTGGGCCCCAGGAGGAAGGGTGGGGGCTGGAGTGACTCAGGCCACCCGCAGCCACACCTCCTGCCTTATTCGGCTGCCTGTCTGCCAGGTTGGGGGATGGGGCCACCCCCCCCCTACCCCCAGGGGCAGGGTGACCTAGGAGGAGGCCGGCTGTGCGGAGCGGACCTCCTCCCAGTGGCCCCAGCCCACAGGAGGCAGGCCTGGCCCTGTGGAGCCCGGGGCGTGCGGAGATGTTTCTGTCCTGGAATGGCGTGGCCCCTGGGCCCGCTCCTCCTGTCCATGTCCCCACCGGTCTGTGTAGCAGGGCAGGAAGCGTGCGCCCTCACAGCTCAGGGCTCATGGCTAGGCCACCTCCTGGCCTGTTGCCAGGCCTGTGTCCTCTGTGGGGCCCGGAAGAGGTCCACGCCCCTCTAAGCTGCCGCCTGGGGCCCCGCACACTCGGGATACACGCTCAGCTGCTGAAGTTGATGGCCCTGTACACTTACCGGCCCACGCAGGCAACGTGGAGCCACGAGAGGCGGTGCCAGTCCCTTTCCCGCCCGTGGTCCTCTCTGGTTTGGGGGTGGAGAGAGCTGGGTTCCAGGGAGCTGGACAGGGGCTTTGGCAGTGGGCTCCCAGCCCCACCTCCCCCCAAGGCTGTGGAGCCCCTCGCAGGCTGGGGCTCAGGAAGAGCAGGTGAGCCTGCCACCCCGAGAATGCACATGGGGACCACAGATCTGAGGAGTCTGAGGACCCTCAAGGGGTGTTTCTCTCTGGGGGCCCTTGAAGTCCTCTTCCCCCGCCTCCCCAGGGGTCCAGGCCAGCAGCAACCAGGTGTGACCCAGCTTGTCGCTGTTCTTCTGTCCAAGTGCAGGAGGGGCTGCCGCCGCCCTCTGGTCCACGTCCGCTTCCTGGGGCCTGAGGCGATCGGCTTTGCCGGTGGCAGAGCTGAACCAGCCCTGGGGCAGGCGATCTGGGAAGGGGCCCCTCTCCTGGGACAAGGCCGCCCAGCCTCCTGGCAGGAGCAGCTTTTGCTGGCGGTCGGGTATGGCCAGAGCAGGGCTGCAGGCCAGGGCCAGGCTGGGGCGAGAGCGGGGCCACAGGACACAGGCTGGGGTCGGGCGGCACGGGGAGGTCTGCGGCCACTTGGCAGGACAGAGGCTTGACCACCTGGCAGGTGGGGTGGGGATAGGGCCTGCGGCCCCCGGTGGGTGGGGGCCACTCACAGCCCCTCCAGCCGCCAAATCCCTGCCCACCCAGGACTGGCCTTGATGCGGGCTGAGCCTGTCCCGGAGGCGGCGGGAGGAAGGGGGAGACGTGGGTCCTCACAAGGGTTCTTGGTGTAACACCCAGACATGGGGCAGGTTAGCTGGGCTCCCTCAGCATTGGGCAACCCTGCAGGCTCTGGTGGGTCCCCGACCTCCCTTGCCAGAGCCAGGCACTTGGAGGAGGTACGGGGGAGGGCTGAGGCTGGGCCTGGGGGTGCTGTGGGTCAGGCACCTGCTCCTGGGCTCCCGGCCCCCGCAGGACCCTCCACAGCCCTGAACGCCGAGACGCCCCTCCAGGCACCCTATGGCATCTCGCTGAACCTCATGTAGTGACACGGGGTGGGAGCCCTGGGGTCCTGCCTCTTCTCAAGATGGAGTATCAGGGCCTGAGGGAAGAGAACTGGGCGCAAGGGTGCTGTGCCCTCTAAGCTGGGAGCCCCCTGAGGGCAGCTGTGGCGGGAAGCACCCTCTTGGCCAGGTCCGCTCAGTGCCGTGCGCAGGCTGTGTGGCCCGGGCCTTTCCTGGATCCTGGGCACCCTCTCCCAGGTTGGCCAGGCAGTGGACGGTGGGCCCTCGGTACTGGGGCTCTGGAGAGGGCTGGAGCTGCCCACAGTGCTGCCACAGTGGCCTGTGGGACGGCCCGGGTCTGCTGGAAGGGGCCTGTGTGGCGGGCCGTGGCCACCGGGGACGGCTGCATGGCCAGGCCAGAGACCTCGTGGGCCCCCAGTGCCCCCAGCAGTCCTTCCTGTCCCTTCAGGAACATGAGCTCAGCGTGGTGGGCATCTGACCCTTGGGGGCTATCCTCGAGCGCGCCTGCCACCCTGCCGCCACACACCCTATCCTGTCAGCGGGGCCCAGCCACCCTGCCTCGAGGCCACCTCGTCCAGTGGGCTTGTCCCCAGGGCCAGGGCTTTAGGAGCCGCTTCGCGCCTGCCCCTCCAGCCCGAGGAGCCACACAGCAGCCGGATTTGACCTCCTGCCCAGGAGAGGGGGCAACTGCAGTGGGCGCTGAGTGCTTCCCGCAGCGGGGTGTAGCAGAAGGTGCCACCTGATCCTGGGCTGCCTCCGCTCCGTCCCATCCCCAGGCCAACGGCTGGGCCCTCTGTACCAAGGCACTGAGACAGGGGTGGTCCTCGGCCACCAAGTCCTGGAGGCCCGTGGGAACCAGAGTGGCGCAGGCTATAGGGCGTCACACAGGGAGAGCCGGTCCCCTTAAAGCGCTGATCCCCGAGCTGTCTGAGCACTTAACCGGAGTGACATTCAGTGCCCAGAAGAGGCAGCTGAGGCTCGGAGGCGCTCCCTGGCCGGCGGGGCTGCAGTGCCCTCACTGCTCCTCCCCACGGCCTCGGGCGCCTGGCCTCTGCCCAGCGGGGTGGCTCGACCCCACAGCATCCTGGGCACACGGCCAGGGAGGAGGTCTGGGGTGGTGGGCTCTCGGGTGATGTCGGGGCACCGGGCCAGCGGGCACTGAGGCGCCTGTGCCCCCTCTCCCCCGACAGGCATCTACATCCTTATTGCCGTGGGTGCTGTGATGATGTTCGTCGGGTTCCTGGGCTGCTACGGGGCCATCCAGGAGTCCCAGTGCCTGCTGGGGACGGTAGGTCCTGGG